TCTCTCTCACTCTCTGTTTCCCCATCTCCCTTCCCTCTCTCTCTCACACTGTCTGTTCCCCCATCACCCTCCCATCTCTCTCTCACGCTGTTCCCACATCTCCCTCCTGTCTCTCTCTCTCCCCCTGCACCCACCACATCCCAACTCCCTCCTGTCTCTCGCCGTTCCCCTACCTCCCTCCCATCTCTTTGTTTTCCCACCTCCCTCCCATCACTGTCTCTCTTTTCCCACATTCCTCTTTCCCTCCCTGTTCTGCCACCTCCCTCCCATGCCTCCCTCTTTCTGTTTCCCCACCTCCCTCAATGTCTCTCTCTCTGCCCCCCCAAATCTCCCATCTCCCTCTGTTCCCCCATCTCCCTCCAATTTCTCTCTCTCACTCACTCTGTTCCCCCACCTCCCTCCTGTCTCTCTCTCTGTTGTTCCCATGTCTCCCAACTGCTTGTCTCTCTCTGACCCTGGTATATCTCTATCGCTCTTTCACTCTGACCTCAGTATCTCTCTCTCACACTCACACTGACCCCATTATCCCTTTCTCTTCCACAGTCACTCTGACCCCAGTACCCCTCTCTCTCTCACATTCACTTTGACCCCAGGACCCCTCTCTCTCTCACTCTCCCACTGACCCTGGAATCTCGCTCTCTCACTCACTTACCCTGATCCCAGCATCTCTCTCACTCACTCTAAACCCAGGATCTCTCTCTCTACTGTGACGCAAGTATCTCTCTGTATCTCACTCTAACCCCTGTATCTGTCACTCACCCTCACTCTGACCCCGGGAACCAATCTCTCTCTCACTCGGACGTGGGTATACCTTGCGCACTCCCTCTCTCACTCAATCACTCTGAGCGCAGTAGCTCTCTCTCCCTGTGACCCTAGTATCTCCAATCATCTTACTGTCTGCCCTCAGTATCTCGCTCGGACACCAGTTTAAAAATACAGAAATCTGAATGATTTACATCAGTTTCTCTCGCAGTCAGGCCTTGGTTTGTACATACAGTGCTCTGTATGACTTAGATCAGTATCTCTCTCTCTCTCTGACCCCGGTTTGTATATACAGTGCTCTGTATGATTTAGATCAGTATCTCACTCTCTCTGATCCCGGTTTGTACATACAGTGCTCTGTATGATTTAGATCAGTATCTCTCTCTCTCTCTCTGACCCCGGTTTGTATATACAGTACTCTGTATCACATAGATCAGTATCTCTCTCTCTGACCCCGGTTTGTATATACAGTACTCTGTATGATTTAGATCAGTATCTCTCTCTCTCTGACCCCGGTTTGTATATACAGTGCTCTGTATGATTTAGATCAGTATCTCTCTCTCTCTCTGACCCCGGTTTGTATATACAGTGCTCTGTATGATTTAGATCAGTATCTCTCTCTCTCTCTCTGTCACTGACCAGTCCAGCAGGCTCTGGGCGGTTTGCTCGTCCTTGTTGTGACCGAGTTGGTGATGGACCCTCTTCCAGCGCTCGCACTGCTGGCCCAGGTAGACGCTGCACAGATACCGCCGGCGGTACCAGGCCTTGCGGCGCTGCTCTAGCTCCAGCTCGGTGCGGATCCGGGGCCGCCCCCGGCGGCGCTTGCCGGGCTCCGCGGGGCCTGCTCCGGGCCCGGGCCCTGGGCCTGGGCGTGGCTCCGGCTCCGGGGGCTGGCTGCGACTGGAGGCCCGGCGGCGGGGAACCTGCCGTGGTCCCGGGCTCTCAGGCTGGGCCATCCCGCTGGGAACCGAGCTCCCAGGCTTCAAGAGCGCGGCCCCGACACGCTTACCCGCGTCCTGCGCACGCTCACGGGATCCCGCGGCGCGCACGCCCGTGGCAACCAGCGCGGTATGACGCAAACTCCTTAGCAACCACGTTGCCCCGCCCAGCGCAATGACGTCTAACAAACCGCCCGCCCCCACCACGACGCCGTCCACCTGCTCCGCCCAGCGCTGCTCGCGGTCGATCAGGTGTCATCCCGGATCCACCCCCTTCCGCGCGTTTTGACGTACATTCCGTCAATGGCCCACCCTAGCGTGATGACGTCCAATCCAGGCCGTACCCACTCTGAATGACATCACGTCTCGACTGCACCTGGCGCGATGATACCTAGTTATTGCTCCGCCCGGCTTGATGACGTCAGAATCCGCCCTCAGCTCCGCGCCGTGACATCACATCCTGGTCCCACTCGGCGCATTGATGTCGCGCCTTGGCCCCGCCCTGCCTGCCCCGCCCGGCGCAATGATGTCACGCGCTGGCCCCACCCTGCGTGGTGATGTCATGCCGTTCCCCCCGCCCCCGGCGTGATGACGTTTTCCCCAGGTTGACAATGTTGGCTGTCTTGTTTGTAAGAAACCTCAAGCTGGGAGGAGGAGGAGATCCTTTTATCTCAGTGTTAGCGCTTCCTGGCAACATCCGTCTGAAAACATGGGAACAGTCCTGGGATATATTTTGGGGCTTTTTGGCCAGCAAGGGCGGCTGAAAGGTTACAGAGAAGGGTCAGGGAATGAAAGGTCACAGGGCAGTGAAGGGTCAGGGATGAAAGGTCACATTGCGGTGAAGGGTCA